ATTTTCTGTTAAAACATTTGGTTTTCAAAACACATTTTCAGCCACAGCCCTTGACTTTGGGGGACATTTTTTTCAGTTTCACAAACCAAACCCAAACCAGAATACTTAATCAAAAATAAGCTTGGTTCATCAATATTTTTGTTTTAATGAAAAGCCACTTTTGTAAAAGGTCCCCCCTTAGGGAGGGACAAATGAAAGCAAATGAAGCATACCGAAATTGCAAATCAAGCCCGGGATTTAAATATCCTGCACTTGATTTGCATGTTCCCGGCTGGTCGCCATGTTAGAAATTCACTGGCCTGGAGTAACTGCCCGTGTCTACATGCGGCAGTGAAACAGGAGTCCGATTTAAAGCCCCTAATTCAAATTAGCTGGTAAATCTCATTGCAGAAGGAATGACTAGAACTTTTATATATATACACACACACACACATATATCTGGGCCTCTGTAACTTCCACTCTTAGTCATCTGATGGAGCATGATCAACACACCAGGGAAAGTCCTCTCAGCAATGTCATGACAAGGAGGGTCCTCCAAATGAGCAACCCCTTGGAATGCACAGCATCCACCCGCACCTAAAAGCACGCTGGAGGATATTAGCTTCAAACCCCTGAGATGTGATATTGCATGGGTCTAGCGGTTAAAGGGGTGCCTGGCAAACAGAATTCCCAGCAAAGTCTTGTCTATATGGGTTGCAGACAGAACTGGCCTGAATTCAAAACCTGCTGCTGTGCTGAAACTTCAGTTTAGGGTGGCTTTAAGAAAGACTCGATAGCCTAGTGATATAGCTACCGTCCCAACTGGTGGGCAATCTAGGTTCAAATCCTTGCTGTGCCTGAGTTAGAGCACTCTGGGATGTAAACCTGCTTCAAATCCCAGACCAAACCCCTAACTCCCCAGACTACCAAGTATGACTTAGGTTCCATGAAAACTTTCTGGAAGGTTTTGTTTTTGTTCCAAAGGAAAAACAAAAACAAAAAAAACAACAAGCAACTTTGTAACCTCAAATGTTGCTGTGAAGAGGGTGGGGAGAGTCCAGTCAGCTCAAGTGGTAAATGCATGATAGTCTACAAAAAGGGCAATGGGAGAGAGAGAGAGAAAAATAGACACCTGGGGGGATGTAGAGAAGAAAAAATCTGTTACGTGAAAGGCTGTTTGAGAAGGAATGATATGCAGGGGAGAAGGCTTTCAACCCAAGAGCCACATTGTGAGAAGTGACAGTGGAGACATGGACCATAAGACCCTAGGGAATTGTTATAAGGCTGCGTAATGGAGTGAACTAGGCACTGACATCACTGCTGGAGGCCTTACCGCACCCTGCCCAGTGACAGGAGCAGAAGAGAGGTCCTCCAAGCAGAATAGAGTGTCAGCCTCTGCTGCAGCCAATCAGGGCATGGCAGGCTGATATAAAAGAAGCTGCTGGGCCAGGGCCTGCCAGTTCCTTTCTGGAGCTTGACCCAGGCAGACCTAAGGGCTGACTGGGAGAACAGCAGAACTCTGGACAGCTCCGCATGGAAGCTGGACTTCAGACCTGGTCATAACCAGGTCCAGTGGCTAAAGACTAGCTGGTAAGCCAATGGCAACACTTTGCAGAACCCTGAACAGAGAAGACTTGACCACAAGGCCCAAGGACAGAGCAGCTTCCTGGGAAAGTGGCCCGAGGAACGTGACAGCAACCGACCTCTTTGAGACTCAGCAGGTAACTGCTATTTACAGCTACTTACTGGTTGGGACCCAGAGGAATGGGCAGGCCTGGGTCCCTCCCAACCTCCAGCAGCCACAACAGAGGGTAAGAAAAAGCCTGGTCCCAAGCCACATACCAGACACTTCCTCTCCCACAGCCAGCCAGGCAGACAGACCACAAGACTCTCCTCGGCCACCAAGGGGCGCTCATGAGAAGGGCGGGGCCCATTACAGGCTGTTTTGATTAATGCTCCTCAATTCCTTCTCTTAACCGCTCAGTCTTCCTTACCTTCTTGATACAGCAAGTGTATGGAACGCCGCAGGCCAGAGCACCGCTGCTGTTGCATGAGTGGTACTGATTGACAGTCCAGTCTGTATATTCGTCACCTCCACAGCAAGAGAACTGTGCAAAGAAAGAAAAATGCATCACAATGCAATCAAGAGATAAATAAAAGCGTGTCTGTGGTGTGAGAAACACTTGTACCATTTAACAAACTAACAAGAAGGGGATGCCTGAGTCATGCTACTGGACATGGACTGACTCTGAGGTTCTCTCCGACTCTGTATTGCTCAGTCAGACTAACACTGCCTCGTCTAATGTCACCCTAAAGGGGTGTTCTCTAAGTTGGGGCCTGAACTCAGTGGCTGCGTCTAGACTGGCAAGTTTTTCCGCAAAAGCGATTGCTTTTGTGGAAAAACTTGCCAGCTGTTTACACTGGCCGCTTTGAATTTGCACAAGAACACTAACAATCTAATGTAAGATTGTCAGTGTTCTTCCGCAAATACAATGACTCTCTCGTTTGGGAAAAAGCCCTCTTGTGCAAATGCTTTTGTGCAAGAGGGCCAGTGTAGACAACTGAGAGCCGTTTTGCACAAAAAAGCCCCGATGGCAAAAATGGCAATTGGGGCTTTCTTATGCAAAACCACGTCTAGATTGGCATGGACGCTTTTCCGCAAAAAGTGCTTTTGCGCAAAAGCATCCGTGCCAATCTAGACGCTCTTTTCCACAAATGCTTTTAATGGAAAAACTTTTCCGTTAAAAGCATTTCCGGAAAAACATGCCAGTCTAGACGTAGCCAGTAATTCTGGACCAATGCTACAGGAGTCAGGTTGAATTTATTCGGCATGGCCAGTCAGAAGTGTATAGGAAGGCCAGGAAATTGTTTACTGTTCACTTAGTTTCAGACTAAGAGCAGCAATTACTTTTCCAAACTAAACAGCTTTCCTGACGTCTGTCTGTTAGGACTGCGAGGCTAGAAACAGGCTCAAGCTAGCAAGGCAGCTTTGACATGCCTGAAGCACTGAAGCAGAACAACAGGAAAGCTCAAGTAATTTTTAAATACTGAATATTTTCAATGCAGACGTACATGTACCATCTAAGCCCATCGCTCCCTGGGGCACAGCTCGGATTTCAAGAGTTAGTGTGTGGAACAGACATTACAAGAGCTCAAATTATTTCTTGCTCAGTAGAGCAACAAAGACAACTCTCCCGAAGCCAGTCAGTTTGCTATGAACAATGAGAGGTGCACACAATCCTGAAGAGCAACTCGTCCTTAATGGCACAAAGATTTGAATGTAGGATTAAAATAAATTGATGAAAGAGTCAGATATTTATTGCACCCCGGTTTATTTACAAAGAACATACACAAATTCCTGTTTCTCTGAAATCCATAGGAGTCAGTTTTCTGTTCGCATTCCCAAAAGCCTCTTTCCAACCAATACTCTGTCCAAAAAGCTCTTTCCGGGCTATATGAACCAGTTATCTCTTGGCTCTTTATTTTCCTGCTTCTGGCAGCTTCTGAGTTAGAATGATAGAATCATAGAATCCCAGGGCTGGAAGAGACCTCAGGAGGACATTGAGTCCAGCCCCCTGCCCAAAGCAGGACCAACCCCAGCTAAATCACCCCAGCCAGGGCTTTATCAATCCGGGACTTAAAAGCCTCTAGGGATAGGGATTCTACCCCTTCCTAGGGAACCCATCCCAGTGCTTCCCCACCCTCCTTGGGAAATAGGTTTTTCTAATATCCAACCAAGACCTCCCCCACTGCAACTTGAGACCATTACTTCTCGTTCTGTCAGCTGTCCCCCATGAGAACAGCCTCTCTCCAGCCTCCTTGAATCCCCCCCTTCAGGTAGCTGAATGCTGCTATCAAATCCCCCCTCATTTGTCTCCTCTGTAGACTAAAAAAGCCCAAATCTCTCAGCCTTTCCTCATAAGGTATGTGCCCTGGTCCCCAATCATTTTTGTTGCCCTCTGCTGGATTCTTTCCAATGCGTCCACATCCTTTTCTGTAGTGGGGAGCCCAAAACTGGACACAATGCTCTATCCGTGGCCTCACCAGTGCTGAAGAGAGGGGAATAATCACTTCCCTCCATCTGCTGGCAATGCTCTGTCTAATGCAGCCCAATATGCCGTTAGCCTTCTTGGCTGCAAGGGCATACTGATGACTCATAGCTAGCTTCTCATCTACTGTAACCCCCAGGTCAACTGCTGCTTAGCCAGTCAGTCCCCAGCCTGTAACAGTGCTTGGCATTCTTCCGTGCTAAGCATAGGACTCTGCACTTGTCCTTGTTGAACATCATCAGTTTTCTTTTGGCCCAATCCTCCAATTTGTCTAGGTCACTCTGGACCTCATCGTTATTGCCCAGTGTATCTACTTCTCCCTCCGGCTTCATGTCATCCAGGAACTTGCTGCTGGTGCAACCCAACCCATCTCCAGATCATTAATGAAGACGTGGAACAAAACCAGCCCCAGGACCAACCCCTAGGGCACTCTGCCTGTAACTGGCTGTCAGCTAGACATTGAGCCACTGATCACTACCCATTGAGCCTGACAATCTAGCCAGCTCTCCACATACCTTATAGTTCAGTCATCCAAGCCGTACTTCTTTAACTTACTAGCAAGAAGACTATGAGAGACCATATCAAAAGCTTTGCTAAGTCAAGGTATATTATGTCCACTGCTTTCTCCATAAACATAGAGCCAGTTATCTCATCATAGACTTAGATGTCTACAGCTTCATCAAATAATGACCAGCCCCTATACTTGCAATCAATTTCCAGGGAAAACCCCTCTGATCACATGACTCAGCTCCTACTCTAACCTTGTGCCATTGCTAGTTTGGACTTGGGTGGTGATTTCCATTGTTTCAGCTATCACTAAACCAAGGAGAATTTAGCTGCTCCCTCATTTTTTCCTGAACAAAATGCTGCTCTTATGACCAACAGCTTCAAGTTGGCTTGTGATTGCCCATAAACCAAATATATACTCAACCCCAGCATTAACACCACTAAATGTTTTCCCGCACACGGCACCTGAGTGCTAAAGACATTGATTTTCACAAGTGATGACTTTTGATTTTCTATTCTCTTCGGCTTCCAAGAACAATATTATTTTCTCATTGCAGCTTTGCAGAGCTTTGAAATTGAAAAAGAACGTGCTGGAGTGAGTTAGAACTGTATAATGGACCCTCATCCTGCTGTTGGCAGCTGCAATACAGGCAGCATTATTCACAGAATGAAAGCGCCACATTTGTAACAAGAACGGCTTCTCCATAGAATGCACGCTCAGTACAACGTCTCCTTCGTGCTGGCCGTGGCAGAGGATAAGAGCTCAGACATAGCTCGTTGGTCCACTCACAAAAAAACCTGGCTCCAGGGATTTCTCTGTTTGGCGCACTAAGCACCTCCCTCCAGGGTTGGCAGGGCCGTCCTGAGGATTTGTGGGGCCCTACGCGGTACTATTGAACCGGTGCCCGCGTGCATGATGGCAGCCCAGGAAGAAAGAATGATTTGTAGAGCTGGGATTTTATAATCCTCAGCAACGCACAAATGAAATAGCTTTAAAGCTGGTTTTAAACTAAGGTCCCGTCGACTGACCCAGTAAATTCAGAAACTGACACGGGCTGGCAAATGTCAGTTAAATGGCTTCATTGCCACTTGACCGGCTCTTTCCCAGGTTCTGCCAATAGGTCAGACTGGCTTTTCGCTTTTAAGTTAGCTAGCTCCTCTCCGGAGGAGGCAGAGTCACCGAGCAGGGATAGGAAGAGCAGGTGGGTGGGCATTAAGACCTAACGTATGGGCGCCCTACGCAGAGGCATATTCTGCGTATGGATAAGGACGGCCCTGAGGGCTAGAACACCGTGAGTCAACGTCCCCAAAGGTGCACACTCCTCCTCTGGTTTGGATTATAGACTTGCCTCAAACTAAGCTGTTCTGCAGCTTGCCGTTTACCCAGCACTTCTGAGGGGCCCAGCTAAGGCCAGTTATCTGGTCAAATAGCAAGGTGGCACTCACGTGTGCACTATTTTCAATCATTGTCTTTGATTCTTTGACCTCATTTGAGCTTATTGCCTGTGGGACCTGGTGGGGGATGGGTGACCACGTCACTAAACCCACTTCCAAAACTGGACCCCCCCATTGTTAGCCTTGGCGGGGTTTGACTGGGTCATGGAGACCGACCGGTCCTCCTGATCCTAGAGCATCCTTGGCTAGCGAGTGGGCCACATGAGGGGCCTCCTTCAGTTCAGGAGGCTGCAAGATTCTCACAACCAAGACGGTCTCCCAGGATGGGGCAGTGTTGATCACTACGCTTGCACGCCTAGAATTTGTGGGATGTGCCAACTGAACGGTAGCAGCGCTGTGATTGGATGCAGAGGCAGCGCACGGCTCTCGCCGTCAGTGTTGGGTGCAACCAGCCCACACCTCTCTTCCCGGGCCCTAGCTTTGTGGGTGTGTCACTTTAGTAACACCGGTACCAAAAAAATGACACCGAGAGAAACCAGCAGAATCTGTCACGCCTGCATATGAGCAATGGCAAACAAAATCTCTTGTGGGCTGCACGTAGAATGCTTATGGGCCGCATAGGGCTCTTGGGCGGCAGGTTGCTCACTACTGTCCTAGAGGGGGGTGCCTGTAATTCTGACACTAGACGTACTGAAGGAGGAAAGAGAGATGAAGTCTGATGTGCTGCTCTCTCTGCTATCTCTCTCATGTGAATGCAAACAGGATTTTAGTCTCTCTCGCTGTCAAATTGGCCCCTTTAACTAGCACTAAATTCATTTCCAAGTCTTGTGAAAATAATTTAATTGTAGACTAAATTAACTAAAAACAATTAACTTAAGTTCAGTAAATCTCACAAAATTTATGTTTCACTTAACGGCCCATATAATCTCATTTTCAATTCCTAAAATGGGAGGAGAGAGGAGAAAAGGTTGTTGTAAAATGTACTGTCATTTATTGAAATCTGTTTCCCTTCTGCAGCTTTTGTGCATTTTCATCTGCACATGAGTCAAGTAGATTTTGAGAGGAGACTTTCCCTTGGTTTAAACCAGGTTTATTCACCAACTGGTTAATTCACCAGTAATTTGTAGTGAGTTGTCCACTCCTTTGTGAGTGTGAAT